AAAATTTTCTCCACCAAAAATGTGCGAGGAGAAAAAAAAACTTCTAAGTGACATTTCAATGACCCGAATGAATATATTACAACCACCTGCATTTTTGTATGTGTGATGCTCCCGTGAAACAGGTCCCGAGGAGGTCTTCTCTTTTCTGTTAAACTCATGTATTTAGTACTGGGATTCTGATACCTGAGTTCTGACATGGCGAAATCAACTTATCAGGGCAAATTTCTAACTTAATTATCCTCAAAATCAAAACAAACCGTTCAAAAGAAAGCAAAGGGAAATATCACAAAGAGTTACATAGGAACCTAGAGAAAAAAACAACAGCAACAAGCAAACGGCCTGTGACAGGAAAACACAGCGGTGCACAGTTTGGTTTTATTTTTGCAATAAAGTGATAAAGAGGGTGACATGAGTTTTCTAAACCAATACCAATTCCTGAATGGATTAAAGAAAAGAAGGCATTGCAATACCGCGTTTCCCCTCGACACTCAGTAAAGAACTGCATCTAGCGATCTAAAGATTTTAGTTAAAGTCGAACCTTCAAAATTATTCTTTCTGGGGTTTTATACACTACTCCTCATTCATTTTATTAGATAGTAACAGAAAAGATGAAACACATCTCAAAAGGGAATTGTCTGACATGCGAGATTTGACTGGCTCTAAGCGAGGGCCTGCCGCTGTGTTGGCAAACCCTAAGGTTCAGGAAGCCGCGGTTGAAAAAGGAATCGAGGTGGCGGGGAAACTTGTGGACAAGCAGCTGCAGATAATCGATGACGCCCAGCAAAAGGCTGCAGATTTTCTGAAAAAAGAGGTTAGCAAGGATGACTGTTCATTTAAGAAGAACCCCAAGTTAGCTATTTTTGATCACGTCAAATCGGTGTATACCCACTGAGGAACCATAAATAAACAATTTCGCTTCCTTTGTTTGGTTCACTCGAACGAACTAGGCGTCTTCTACTTCGGAATTCTCCGCGAAAACATCGAGGTAGAAGAAACGATAAAATATGGCAGCCTCGTACTTGGGTCTGAAGAAATATATCAAGAAAGACTCTATAACACGGTCCGAATGGCCTGGGTGTGTCTCTTAGCTCGTTCCACTCTGTCCGTGAGAGTTCACGATAACGAGACTCAAACTTGGAAAAGCACTGCGAAGATTTAATTAAAATTCAAAGCAAACCACCACATTTTCATAAGGAAAAAGGCCATTTCTGAATAAACTTTGGCCTCTCTTTCAAAGCAAGTTCTGTAGTTCATCCTTTGTCTGATAATAAGTTTTTATTCACTTGCAAATTAAACTCGTTTTCCTACACATGGTTGAGTACCAGGCCTCGTTTAAGAAAGAGGCCAAAAGTAATTCGGAAATGACTTATTATTGCTGAAGAAATAGGATAATTACGATTGATTACTCAATTACATAGACGAGGAAAGGTCTTACCNNTCATCTCGCCTCATCCCGCCTCTATCGATGAATGAAATCTACGTACGAGCGTAACGACTCTGTGAATAAACAAGTTGCTGTTTTGTGTGTAATCTTCGTTCGCCGTTGCAAGGGGCCGCAGCGATCATAACAAAGACAGTTCTGCGACCTTCATAAAGCTTGAAAAAAGATTTTAGGTTTTGACGGGAGTTGAACTCATGACCTTTACGATACTGCCGAGGTGCTCTACCAACTAGGATAACAAGCCAACTTGAGGCTGGTCTTTTATTTTTTTTCGTAATAAACCCGTGTAGTGATGAATGGACAACTGTAACTATCTGAATATGCAAATGATGATAATGTTGCAGTTGAAATGGGTAGGGGTGAAGGTAACTGTAATAGTGGTACATCTAGGCCTACTCTGTGACCTTAAGTTGACTTAAGTCGCCTAAAGTCGCCTTAAGTCGCGTTAAGTCGCCTTAAGTTGCCTTAAGTCGCCTTAAGTTGCCTTAAGTCGCCTTAAGTCGTCTTAAGTTGCCTTAAGTCGCCTTGAGTTGACTTAAGTCGCCTAAAGTCGCCTTAAGTCGCCTAAAGTCGCCTTAAGTCGCCTTAAGTCGCCTTAAGTTGCCTTAAGTCGCCTTAAGTCGCCTTAAGTCGACTTAAGTCTCCTTAAGTTGCCTTAATTCGCCTTAAGTCGACTTAAGTCTCCTTAAGTTGCCTTAAGTCGCCTAAAGTCGCCTTAAGTTGCCTTAAGTCGCCATTGGTTACGTAATGTTATAAGGGTTCTACTCTTCCCAATTGACCCCATTCATCCCATTTTAATCATATTGTGTTTAATGCAAGGGATTCTGTAAATATTTTTTAGATTTATGGAGCCTGTTGCTAACATTGATTTTACTGAACTTCAGTCAAATAAAATGTCGCAATGTTTTTATGCCAATTTTGCTTAAGTCTCCTTTAGTCGCCTTTAAATCGCTCAAAGTCGCACAAAGTTACGGTGACTTAAGACCCTAGAGTAGGCCTACATATAGTAGTGGTCGAAGTGACTACTGTTCTTTAATTTATTACCGCGTAATGACATATAGACTTTACTCAGCTCTTTTTGCATGAAAAACAAACCAAATTTTATTGTTTGCTTCTCAGATATGAAATATTCATGGATGAAGTAAAGCCACATGATCTTAGCATGTCATTTCTACGAGAATTTATGAATTTACCAACTTCTTACTTCTCAGCAGGGGGACCTCTGAAATACCGTTAAGTATCATTCAATGAAATGCAAGATGATTGTTAAGCGTAAGCTTATGATTAAGAAAAAAAAGCTTACCGTGACTTTGATTAACTTACGTGCGATTAATAAAATGTCGTGAAGAATCAAAATTCTATACAACTTCTCATATAAAACATAACAACGTCTTCTGGTCTAACTGAGGCAGCTGTTTTCCTATCCGTCTTGCTCTTTCAGGATTGGACTTCCAGAAACTTTGCATTCTATAGCGACCTGACTCAGCTTTCGATGACTCTGTCTTAGGAGTCTGTTTTTAATCTGCGTTAAATAATAATTATTTTATTACTGACTTTATAGAGAACTTTATTCAGCGCTGGGGAACGCATTTCATCAAATCTGCAAAGTTTGGGGGCCAATTGGAGATACGCAAAACGATGGATGCTGAGGACGTCCAAAGCAAAAAGGAATTTGAAATTCAAATGGAAATGGAGTTTAAGACTTTGTTTGCAAGCGTTGGAGCCAGGTCTTCTTATAAGACGAGTGAGAGCAGCAGGAGACAGACAAAGACTACATCAACATCAGTGGTCGCCCACGGTGGCAGCCAGCATATTGCATCTATTCTGTCGGATGTGTACTCGCCAACCTTTAAAACAGAATTCAAAGAGTGGCTGAGGACGATTCCTGACTATCCAAAGGCTTTCCGTTTCCAAATGGGATCCATCACCGACCTTCTCAATTTCAGGGCTGATGACCTGTTTCAAGATGAAACGGTAAATTGGGGTTGCGAAGGAAATGCTGCTCACATAAAAACACAAGAGAAAGGAGGCAAGACCGTGAAATACTATGAGGTGCAGGTAAATAATGGAACGAGGCGGTATTACTGTGAGTTTGACAGCCGCCGAGCACTGGAAGATGCTGTACAAAGACGAAGGTTAAGCTTGAAAAGGGCCATCGAGATTTACATGGAAGAGGTAAATACTAGTGATAAAGGCTTTATTTGTTAATTGGTGGACGCAGTTGTGTTATGAAGATGAAGCAAAACGTTGGTTCCGTTTCCTCTGAGAATTTAACCATACTCTTTGGAACTTAGTAATTGGTTATATCAACCAAGTCGAAATTGTAAATTGGCCAGCGTAACAAGTTAAAAAGCTGACCTTTCGAGCGTTAGCCCATCGTCAGAGTGAAGGGCTAACGCTCGAAACGTCAGCTTTTTAACTTGTTACGGTGGCCAATTTACAATTTAAACTTAGTTGATATAACCACTTACCTTGTTACCCCCACCGACGCAGCACCACAGTTTCTTTAGAAACTTTTATCCTTTATTCTTTGAACTTATCCACTCGAACGGTTTCTGGATTGGTACAAAAGCATACTATTCAAATTTGCATTGTTGATGCATTATAATTAAATGTAATTATAACTCGGAGATGTTAGGCCGCAATGAGCAAGAGGAGAGAAGCTAGAGATTAAGTAATGCACGATGTCATAATTACTTTTCTTTGGAATAAGTCTAATTTGTCTTTTATTTAAGGGTGCAATGTCTATCTCCGATATCGACTTGAATGCCTGCAAAGTACAAGGAGAGCAGCCATCTAAAGATGATTTACAGAGTCCCTTCTCAGCCAGTGGTGAAATTCCAACTTGGGCGAATATCATTAAAGATGGCACAGCTTGGAAGGTATCGTTTGACATGGTAGACGATCTTCCCAATGCACACCTTTCATCTTTCAATATTGGCCATAATATGACCCGACTTGTTAGATTTTATAAAAAGAAATGGTATACAAGTAACGAAAATGGTTCTTTTCATTTGTTCGGTGCATATAGTAACAGTAATTCCAACAACGTTTCTTTGAGAAAAATGTCTATTTTTGGACTTGTTCTCACGTTTGATGAAGCCGATGGTAGTCTTGTTCTGTACCCAAGCGACTTTAGGGCATCAAAGACGTTCTTTCCCACTCTAACGGAAGACATGATCGGAGTTCAGTTAGCTCGCGTGTATATGTCATCTACAAGATCTGGCAAACGATCTACATCAGGTCAGCCTCCAAAATCAGTCCTACCCTGCCAGGTGAAATGGTCAAATGCGCTTCGATTTGATCCCACAGACACTAAGGGAAAATGCTTGCATTTTACTGCATCAACAGCAGGGACATTATTTGTTGTGTTTGCAGCTTTGCCCAAGGCGCTAGATTCACGTTATCTAGTGCAAATATCCCCAGAAAAGATTTCTACTTATAAGGTAAGACTTGGCGATAAAACTTCAATTTTTGACATTTATCAATTGAATCAATTGATATTCCCTTATGTGTTAAAGTTATAGGGTATTCACTCAAGATAAAACTAGGAACAATCCAGATGATGAATTGCTCTACTCTTTTCGCTCTCTCAAAAATGGTGCCTTGTTTGCAGTAAAGTATAAATTTTAATCTCAAGATAGCTCTCTACTACAGAGTATTAACCACGAGAAAAATCGCGACTATTTTAAAGAGGACGAGAGGATGTTGTTGTCCTCTTCTGTACGATACCTTTAAAGTTTGATTTATCCTTCCTAAAAATGCAATTTATTAGAATTTGAGTAGTTTTTTGCCCACAAATTTAACTTGTCTTTCAATATTTGATTATCGATATCAGGGTACTTCTCTTATGACATCAACATCAAACTTAAACGCCAGGGCACTTGGAGATGCTTCCCTTTATCATTCATACTTTGTTTGCATCACGGAATCGGAAAAGAGCACCCTTATTGAATATGGAAAGAGTCTGGGTACTTCTGAAAGTGGAGATGTCTATCTGAACCTGATCGACAGCAGCGGTCATCTCAATGTACGCTTCTACGCGTTTGGCAATGATCAAAATCCCGCCAAGGTGATGGATGCCCACATCGTGTCTCGCATTTTGACTAAAGCGGAATGTAAAGGAGACACAGTCAAAGATTTGGAGACAAACCTTTGCGTTCAAAAATGTCATAAGAATTGCGATCCCTTGGCTGGTGAGATATGTAATGTTCTTATCTTAGTTTGCCTCCCACGGTTTTTTTTCCTTTATTTTTTGTTCTTCTTTCAATGTTGCAATTAATGTATTCATTTTGTCGATATACTTTCAGCAGGTTGTTCACACATGGGTCACAACCATTCCTTGGTTCTTGACAATGTCAAAATTTCCCCCGATTTTGCGCAAGAATTCTTACAAACAAACTATGCATTTGAGTTGTTGAATATTTTAATGCTTGGTGACAGAGCTAAGTTGACAGAAAACGTAAAGGTAACAAGAAAAATGAGACAAAAATTGTGGTGGTAGCGCACCTCAACAGTAAGGACAGCACTAATGGAGAATATGAACGCAAAATTTGGTCGATGATCCTGGAATGAAACCTTGCCACCTATGTGAGATTGTGCCGACGTACGATGAGCCCAAGTTATGTACAAATATCGTTCAAGTGCCTACCACCCACTCAACCTGCTGGGCTCATTTTAGTTCTGTCAATGAAACGTTTACATGTTGTATCACTTAGATATCGGATCAAATTACAAAGGTCTCTTGTATTTTATAGGTTGCAAGTTCCCTGGTAGCGTGCAATTCCCTGAAGGATGTAACGCTTGTAGAGCTGCTCTTGACGTGGAGCAGAATGAATGCGTACTTGCATGTCCAAAACACAAAACCCTGACGAAAGACAAGAAATGTGTCCGTATGTACGATGTTTTTTCTGTAAAAAATCTGAAGCCTACACCGAGTATAATATCCTCTGTTAATTCAAGGATTTTCAAGTGAGTGTTTATTTTTAAGTTGGTATTAAGTATGCTCAGGGTCGGGGCTATCTCTGTAGCACACAAAGTGGACATTTTTGTTTTTTTGGTCTGGGAATCAATTGATGCACAAATGAAATGGGTAGAAACACTTGACTACGGCTCGTGTTTCTCCCTACACTTTTTTTGTGCTGACAAGGCGCTTCCTGTGTGCTTTACAATACAACAGAGCACAGTCGAGGTTTCTCTATTTGTCAAATATCCCCTTTTCGGTATTTATCTTAGTCAGCACACAAACATCTTTCACTAGGATTATATCCATGTTCCATGCAGGGAGCAACTAACAAATTTACTGACAAGATTCTTTTCACGAAAATTACATAGCAACGTTTGATGCCAAAGACAAAGTTGAATTCGAGAACATGCCAGTCCTAACAGAACTCACCATGTGCCACTGGATTAAGCTAGACGAAAACTGGAACGGCCAATTAAGTTATTTCCACTTCATGTATTCAAGAAAGAGCCAAATTACTTCATTTCTGGGACAGAAAGATGGAGTAATTGTCTTGACCATGCAAATCCTGCCGGATACCAGTAAACAACAGGACAGTCAAAGGTAAAAGATAATGAAACAGACTGATGAGAGAAGTTATTTTTTTCGGCTTTGTTTGTTCTTTCCAAGAGCGAGTGACGTAAACAAAACTACGAGTCTCAGAAGAGAAATGGAGCTCCAAGCCTTTTATTAAGAGCGGCGTCAAAGAAAAAGTCTTATTCCCCCTCATTGCCCTCCAATGCAGTTCTGAGCTACAAAAAAACCCAGCGGGGAACTAACCATGTGCGTAATGAGCGTCTTCAGTTTGAGGGACCCTCGATATAGCAATAAATGAAGAGAAAAATCAAGGGTCATTACGGACCGTTGTAATTTACATGGACTGGAGTGAAAACGGTCATTATAAGCTAAAAAAGGCCAACAAGTGGTGTATTGCCACGGATAGAGGGGGGATGCAATGTTCACTTTTCATGCAACATCGATCGAAGAATAATGGCCAAATAAACCAGTCAGTACTGACTTCCCGAAGATTATTTGATGTAAAATGCCTTTCGGATTTTGATTGAGATTTTGGCTCGTTGAATTAAGTTTTAAGCTTGCAATTCGATGGATCAACTTTTATCTAATAAAGGAAAGTTTTCAATTCACCGTCGAAAAAGCAAAACCAAAGTAATCACAACGACCAATCATGAGCGAGTTTTCTAGACCAATCACAGTCCGAATTAACGCAAAAACGAAAACAATCTCGGCTTACTTTCGACATTTAATTGAAAATACTACACAACCCTGCATCATAAGCCTTATATAACTTTTTTTTTCGTAGATTAACGCTGCAACAGTTAGGAGACTTGCGATGGCATCAGTTTTGTGTGACTTGGTCTAGTTTTACAGGAGTAGTTCAGTATTATTTAGACAGAAAGAATACTTTATCAGCCACTTATCGTCAGAGAGGCGAACTTCGGGGAGGGGGAAAACTGGTGGTTGGTAACAGCCGCGGACAACTTATCACAGAAGTTAATGTGTGGGATCGAGTTCTTAATGAAAAAGAAATCAATCAAAATCTGAAAAAGTGCGATGCTGGTAAAGGCAATATAGTCCAGTGGCATCAAGGCTTTGAATACCTAAAAAAGAACAAGAAAAGGTACTCTATTCCTTCGGTTTGTGAAGCCCCAGGTTCAAGTACTGGCCTGAGCCCAAAGGCTAGCAGAGGATGACGTGAATCGGGACAATAATGATGAATCTCACTCTACATTGAAGTAATATCACAGTTTGCAGTTATCATATTCAGTTTTGAGAAATATTGCAAAACAGAAGCACAGTCAAGTGCAGCGACCGCAAAGAGAATTTGTTATTGAAATTTTATTTCACGCTTTTCAACGAAAGGTTAAATCGTATGAAAGTTATTCTATGGATCAACTTACAATAGTTCTAATAGTTAACAAGAATCAACCATCCTGGAATGTTGGGAGAATTACATGAGCTTGTCTGTTTGTCTTCTCGGATCGTGATTTTTTAACTCTGTGAGCGTTCTGTCAACATCCCATAGGGGTGATAATACTGGTGCAATGCTAAATGTGTGGTTTATCAATTTCAAAATATGTCACCATTGATACTCTCTTTAATTAAGGACCTTTATCATCCTTGTGATCACTAAACATGAATTTCTATATTTAAAAGTGTCAGAGGTTTATTAGTCTTACACAATTCAGTGTAAGATGCTGAGGTTTCTAAAAGTTCATCACTTCTGCAAATACAAGAGTTGGGGGATGTAAAATGATGAAAAACATCACAGCAACCAGGATTTGCTAGGTTAAAAAAAAAATCAGTTAATTGCATAGTGATAATGCTGGAAACAATGCTATCAAATTAAACAAACTTGAGGTTGGGTATGATTTGACATTTAAATAACTCCATGAAGAATTCAGAAATTATGAGTCACGAGTTGATTCTTTCAAGACAGACTTAGTTAAATATGTAAATGTTAATCTATTTTAAATACAATCTTTGGAGGTAAATGTAATTAGTTCAATTTGAACTTTTTTTTTTGTGGTGATGCTCATTTGAAATTGTGGCAATGTGCTCTTAGAATTAAAAGGAAAATTTGAAAAACAAACAAGAGCACACTTTAAAATAGTCTTCCCAACCATGACTTGAGGAAAATAGTTTCAACCAAAGCCCATAAAATCTATGGTGTTAGCAAGAAAGGAATGAACCTCTAGGGAAAATACTATTTATCTATAAAGGGGGTAAGTTTCTAAAGAGATTGTGTTCTTGCATTGGCAAGGCTCATTACATTTGTACACACCAACTGAGTTAACAATGCCACGGTTAGTTTTCCATCTTATAGTGTTTCTAAATCTGACATTTCAAGTCTTTGTACTTCATCCTTCGCTCTGACGAGGTGCTAATGCTTGAAACATCAGCTTTAGAAACTCTTTATGGTGGCTAATTTACATCATTAACTTGGTTAGTAAAAACCAAATAACCTTGTACATGAACAGCTATTTTCCTGCATACACAATGTCTGAATCTTCCATACCAAAATCCCTTTCATACAAGAAAAGAGATTCATTATTATAAAAATCATCATGTTGTAAGTTTAGTTTCTCTTCCAGTATCTTTTTCGCATGATCCCTTAGCCTTTTATCATGAAAAGATACGAACGTAAACTCTTTCTTGATGATCTTACAAGCGTGGTAGTACTGTTGAATAATATGAGCTTCAAATAGCCCTGGGTCGTCTGTGTACACTGATACGATCCACTCCATAACTTTTACTTTCGGTGACAGCCGACCAAAGCTAAAAGACCTCGGTATCTCGTCACAATTCTCTGTCAATAGGAAATCGCCGTCTTGTAAAATGTAATCGATATTTGAATGAAGAGCCTCAAAAGGGCACCAGTCCACAACCAGGACATTGAGTGGGAAAAGCTTGTGGAAAGATGCACGAGACAGAATGACTTCTGAGAAATATTCCTTGGAACACGAAACGAGCTCTGAGTTGATTACTGAGCAAGGCATCTCAGGATCAGGTGGTACCACATGCTCCACTTTGTAACCTAAGTTATCAAACTCTAACACCATCCTCGTGGCAGTTGAGAATTCGCGATAAATATAGTTTGTGAAGCGAAGTCTTCTAACACTTGGGAAGTTCTTCCTAACGTAGGCATCCATGGCTTGTGAAAGCTGACGTGAGAGACCTCGGCCGTGTAAGGCTGGAACGACCCGCATCGCCTTACGAATAAATGTTTGTTCCTCGTCAACGATGAAACACGCTTGTAGCCCGACTAACTTCCCTTCGACAAATGCGAGAAGTATGGCCAAATTTTGCATCTGAAGCCAGTTATTGAGCCTGTGCTGCAGATAGTCATGACCACTAGGAAAAACTTCATTTGATAACTGTACAATTTCGTTGCAATCCCTTAGTTCTGCGACGCGAAATGCAAGAGGGAGATCTTTTATGTGATCCGCCATGTTTTTAGAGCCGCCGTTCCTAAACTGCCAGCGGAGTAACAGGGTTGTGGTGTATTAGTCACTTGACGCATCAAGTGCGAGTGCTGTTAATTTCTTTACCTTTCTTTTCTTATTTTCTCCAGTCGTGTTCACTAAAGAAAGACTACGCCATCAGGGTTCCCCCAATTATTTTTTTTTAGGCGACTTAGACTGTACATGCACATACAATGACTACCAGTAGGCCTGTCCCGATTGCGCTCGGCAACCATCGAACAACTTTTGGCGTTTGGAGCACCTTGAGCAATTGTTGCCTTTCTGAGAAGTTTTTGGGAAAAAAATATAGATTTCAAAGCCGATATCGAGCCCGAAAAAGTTATTGATGTCATAGAGAACTTCAATTTATGCGAGTTTCTTGAATGTTTATTAACCTAAAGTTTTTTAATAGAAGTGAACCAAGTGTTTTGTTCCGTTAGACTTCAGAATATCCTTACATTTCGCCCATATTTGCGAGCAATTTGCAACTTTCAAGCTATTTTTCTTGATCAGTGTTGGCAATTATTGAGAAGAGCGAAAAATAATGCTCTTAATAAACATTTATATAGAAATATTAAGACAACTTGGCGGCAACTTTTAAAATTTAGGTGGTAAATTCCCGGGGGCTTTTAGTATGAATTTTTTAGCAGGGTGATTAACACGAAAGCAGATAGCCACACTTCCCTTACGTTGTCAAGACTTCGCATATACCCCCTAACGAGTTACCCATTTACAATGAACGTACTTAATCTGATTTTCTCTGCCACAAATTTTATCCTTAGTTTGTAAAGAATAAGAAAGATGGTAAGTTTTGGGCTCGGCAAAGAAATGTAGAAAGATATTTTCTCGTCTAGTCAAGAGCGAGGAACAAAGAAAAACTAAACTTTATCCTTGTAGCAGAACCCCTTTAGAACAAAATCCAATCAGAAGAAGTGGCAAAGCTCTTCATCCCTTTCTTTAACATCGTATTTTTTTCCCGTCCGGATGACAAAAAAGTTCGCATGACACAACATCTCGACTGGGATGTCAAAGCTCAGTGGTGTTAAAATGCGTTCTGCCAATTCTAGAAGCAGGAGTAGCTGTCGTTCTTTCTTCGGACGGGTGCACCTGATTACTTTCGAAGCGTTGAAATATCTTTCGAAAACAACAGCCGGATGCAATCTGCCTTAAAATGTGCAGGTATTCTTGTCGAAAATTTTGATTGAAAACGGGGTAGATGTATGGTGTCACTGCGCTGTTGGAGTACGACAAGAAATATCTGATGTAAGCGAAGTCATCATTGTAGCAAATTCTCGGTGGTGGCGTACTCAAACAGGCCAAGGCAACCCAAGTTGGCATCCAACAAATGCAGAATGCTATGAGCACTGCAACAAGCATCGATATCACTTTATAATTAACTCTACGATTCCGGGCGACACTGTCAGCGGTTTGATTCCCCGGGGCAGCCCGATTGCACATTTTCACCCCAATTGCCGTGTACAATACTGTGGTCGTAGCAATCGGTATTCCAGTCATGAGGATTAAATCGCAGATCAAGTACGTACGGTAATTTTCCTGTGATTTCAGAAGATCTCTAACAATACGGTTAGCACAGTATGTCTTTCCATTTATATCTACTAGGGTCGCGTAATGAAATAGCAGAGAGTAACAACAACATGGGAAAATCCATGTGAAAGCGATAATTCCAGCCATAATTTTTTTGGTTATGGGGCGTCGGAGCGGAAAAAATACTGCCAGGAATCTATCCAAAGCGATAAAGGTAAAACTCAAAGAAGAAACGAGCAAAGCCACAAAAGGCACAGAGCTGGTAACTTTACATAAGAAAACACCAAAGTTTCCTCTGATTAACCACTCGTAACCCACCAGCAATATGGATATTATTCGTGGAATGTTGCATACGGTCACAAGCAGATCTGCCACACTGAGATTAACAATAAAGAAGTTGCTTGAAGTTCGCATTCGTCTGTTTATATTTTGAGAAACTGAGCAAATTGTGAGAAAATTTCCTACTAGGGACAGGATTATGACGACTGGCAAGGCTAGAACTTTAAAAACCGTTGAAACTAACGGTTCCCTGACTAACATTTGATTTCCGACAGGCTGAGGTCGAGGAACCGCTGCATCGCTGCCATTCGTCCAATTTCTGGATCCATTCAACACATCCGAAAACATGGATAACGATTCAGCAAATGCGTGGTTGGCGAAACTCATGACCACTGCTTGGAAAATAACATTTATCCAAAGGTTTTGAGACAATTTCTTCCCTTCTTGGTACTTGAACAGCTGTTATTTCAGCCGACAGATGTCGTCAAAAGAATATCAAACTGTGGTTGCAATTTCAATGGTAACTGCTTGCTATTGTCAACTATATATCAACAGTTATTAAGCCGTTGTTCTTTTGAAACGATAGTTTTTTTTTGTCTTCGTTGCTCACTTCCATCAAAAGAAGACCCCTGTATTTAATCATTTGTTAGAACCAATTAGAATTTGAAATCACTTCAAAGGACCTAGCAAACGAATATTAACTTTTTTGTTGAAACACTTTTTCAATTGACTTTTCCACTCGCTCTTGGTGCTTCACAGAATTCGAGCTGAAAAAAAAAAAATAAATGATGAACTTAATTGAATGGCTACCAGTGAGGACAAGCAATATGTCAAAATAAAGAAAGACGAAAATTGTTGGCTTCATTGTTTGCCTAACTTCAAAAAGATTCTTGAATAATCATATCTTGATCAAAATTTAACTGCTCTATCCCTTTTTAATGTTTCTCGGTTTAAAAAGACGTCTTTACATCTCACGCCTTGTAGTAGAGTAAGGAAATTGAAACAAAACAAGCATTTATGTACTCAATGACACTAAAGTTATAAAATTTTAGCCGAGAGATATTTAAGAATTATTCCTTAAGCGTGCGTCTGGATATAAGTTGGCCTTAACCAATCTTGTATCCAATAAGCGCAGATGGAATTGTTTTGTTAAATTTCATTATATCCTCAATGTTTAGATGTTTGGAGCTTGTTTCAGCTCCGCAAAAGTTAGTGCGATGCATTCCCATATAAAGCGACTCAGAATATGAGCTGATAACCGGAGTTGAGTGAACCAATCAGAACAGTAGAAATGCAAGATTTAGTGATGAGTTCTATATTTTTGACCATTATATCACAGCAATTAAAAATTGCACAGGCTCGTATTATTTTCTTTTGGTAGACTGTGAAAGCAAAATAAAATAGTTAGCGCTTATTGTTACCCTGCTTTAAAAGCAGTTTTACATGATGTCGTCATGAAAGTTATTAAACTACCTTATTAGACATTTTATCAATCTCTTCGGTGCTCTCAGTGGTTACTTAATTTTATAGAACATCTTCACATGTTTCCCGCTTTATAGAATGATAATATTATAAAAGTAAGCAAGCATTTATGTACTTAGGCGTCACGAAATATTTATTTTTGACCATTTTATCAATCATCATGGCAACTCTTGAAAGAATTAACAGGCACGTTTTATTTCTTGTGTGCGCAAAAGCAAGATCAGAAATGTAAGCTTCATCCACTGCCTTCGGACCTTTATTGATTTATTCAGCTCTATTGAATTTGTTCTCAGTTTTAACTTGAAAGATATCATTATCAACCTATCACTTTAGAATAGCTTAGATAAAACAATCACATCCTTATTTTGGCGACGCCGAAGTTGTAATCTAAGATCCGTTAGTGACTTGGGACCCTTATCGATCCATAAAAAAAGAGAAAGAAGTCATTTCATATGGTCTGTCAAGAATTAAGTAATATACTACACTTTCTAGCGGTTTAGCGGCTGATAAACCCCGCGATATGTTGGGAGAACAAGAGAAAAGTTTGTAAACTACGAGGCGCAGTAATATAAGGTTTGTCAGAGAGATTTGTGAATTTAATCCTATTTTGTGATTAAGTTGCTGATTCTCATGAAAACCATCAAAAGGTTCGATAAACCAATCAAAGCGCCTGAAACTGAATGACCTGCCCGCCAGGGGAGCGAAAACTAATTAATTCATTTTATCGCTGAATGAAAGCAATGGCACGGAGAAACTAAGCTGAAATCATAGTGAAAACTAACGAGAAATGGCGATATGCAAGATAAGGGTTTCCGAAGAATACTTCAATTTTGAGGGAGAAAACCCCATTTTTTTTTGGCCAGAAATGGCCTACCACCACGACTACGATCCAATAATCTATACGGAAAGTTTTTTAAGTTTGCAGCCTGAGCAGCAGTTTTGATATTTTACGGGGTTTTTTCAGCGAAATAAAAGTTACTTGTAGGATTTTAACTGGTGAAATTTATTTCGACGATGGGAACTTAACTTTAGATTCTTAAGTAATATTATTGGACTGCATCACGACAAAAGCGACAAAATCAGAAGATAACGTCGTGGAACTGTGCCCACTGATTCAAACACTGGCCAGCTACTTTGTTTAATCGTGCTACACTATTTTCCTTCAACCAAAGTTGCCTCTGTTGCCTCAACTTGAATCAGAGCTATCTTGGAGTCCTCTTCAAAATTTACAGAAAGAGCCAAAAACGCTTAAACTTGGCAAAAATTATCAAATAAAAGCTGAAGTCTCGGACAGCAAACGGAATTCGAGAAAATCATTGATCTGTGTGGGAATGTGCAAAGGACCGTAGTCATCTCAAAAGGTACAAACGTTCAATGCCCATTATCTCACAATAACTTCAGGTTTTAGTATTGCTTCTCAATCTTTTTGTAAGCAATAGCAAAATTCACTCCTATGGTACCAGAACAGCCAGTTAGCCAAGTTATTAATGAACACATTTCTGTCATACAGACCTCAAGCAATTTACAATTATCTACCACGTCTTAGATTATAACAGAACCAAAGTAAAGCGCGCGCTCTGATTGGTCAATTTGGCGTCCCCCATTTGACTATGGGTGTACGCTGCTGACGTGAGCAAATTCAAAGACTATTTTTCCGCGCGCGCTTGTTTTTTCTGGTCACGCCTGGCTATCGCTCGAGGCGATAGCCGAGAGCGACTCCAGTTTCTTCTTACGCTTCTTTCGTGCTTAGCAACCTCCCGCGTGTATCCATAACTCAATAGTGTACGCTGTGGTGTTTACCATTTGTTAAATCTGGAACCCTCATCCTGTATCAGTAACTCTATCGTCAAATCTTCTTAGCTTAAAAACGAAAACGCAAGATTTTTTACTAAAAAACAATCAAAGAATTGGCTAAACCATACACTTGCAGCACTTGTTTTCTAAAAATATCATTGTGAGGTGGCCTTTCCCATCAGTAAGCCCGGTGGTTTCTTGAGGTCTCCTCACCTTACTTATTGATAATTGATAATTGATAACTATGAGCTATAATTTTATATATCGTTAATTTTCAAAAAAGTACAATAAATGATGATGATGATGATGATGACAATAGATGGCTTCAACTTATCATTGATCTCAATACGCACGCCAAAGTGTGTAAGCCAATAGTCGAAGCAGAGGAAATTTTCCCATCATACTTCCTTAAAACTAGAGCTGAAAATGTTATAGAATAATTCGAGATATGGAAAAGCAGTTGGCGAATTTAGAAAGCAATCAAGAAGCTTGGGTTACTCAATTACGCCTCGTCAACTTTTACGCATCTTTCCTTGTCCTCAAACTTTCCGCGTGGGCGGGACAAACTGACTTTGAAGTAGTTCTTGAGAGGTAGGGCGTTCCTCAGGCGTATGTTTGAGGAGCCACTTCAGGACGACCGTTTCCTTGACAAGGCCCTCGTGGTCAAAATCAGTCGGGAAGATGATCCCTTCCTATTTAGGAAACAGAAAGGACACCAAGAGTTGATGAATCAATGCTTGAGAATGAAAACACCGACGACTTTATCGCCTCTGAGACTTGACTGAATTACTGGAACATTACTTATCTTAATTACTTCCTTTTCTATAAGGGCTAAAAAAGCGAATTTAAGACAAAAGGAGGAGTAAAATAACATTGAAAGCTTTGAAAGCGGATCACAATAACACAGGGTTGGCGTATTGGATCATAGGGGAGCAGGGTTGGCGTAGTGGTGAGAGCGCTCGCCTTCCACCAATGTGTCCCGGGTTCGATTCCCAGCACCAACATCGGACATAAATTCCTCGCGCTGATTGACAAACACTTCCCCAAAGATCATAAGCTCCGCAGAATTTTCAACAGAAACACGATCAAAATTAGTTACAGCTGCATGGACAATACAAAACAAATCATCGACAACCACAACAAAAGAATCCTCACCTCCCACGGAAAGACTAACGCCACCGCCACAACAACAACACTCTACCGCAAACAACAACAAGAAATGCAACTGCCGAGAGAAAAGCTCATGCCCTCTAGACGGAAACTGCCTCCAACAATCTGTCATATACCAAGCTACCATTACACGTAAAGACAACAGCACGACAGACACATACATCGGGCTCACTGCAAACGACTTTAAGTCGCGCTACAACAACCACACCTCATCATTCCGACACGCAAAACACCGCAACTCCACCGAACTCAGCAAACACATCTGGACACTTAAAGACAAAAACATCAATTATTCCATCACCTGGCGCATCCTATCTTCCCACCTGCCCTACAACAGCTCAAGCAAACGATGCAACCTATGCCTTAAAGAGAAATTCCTAATCACCTGCCACCCAAATCTATCAACGCTCAACAAGCGTAACGAACTCGTCTCTTCCTGCCGACACAGAAACAAAGCCCTCCTACGCAATAGCTGACTTGACACTTTTCACACTGCATAAACCATGTTAATTAGCGTAATATCTAAGCGCTGGTATCTCATTATTCTGCCATTAAAATCCCCTGACGAGTGGGCAACCACGAAACAGGTCTGTAGGGATGCATATGTAGTTGTTTTTCTTCGACTACCACACATTATTATTATTATTATTATTATTATTTTGATTTCTCCATGTGGTAGGGATAATGACACGTTTCTTCCTTTCTAATACACGCATATTGTAGTAATAATGCTCTTACCGTTCGGAGATCGCCCAAAACTTTAACCCTTTCCACAGAAGTTGTTAACGGCATGTGGCACATCTCAAAGAAGATAATCCCCAGACTATACAAGTCAACCTTTTGACTGTACCTCACCCGGCCGTCAGACTGTTTGCCTACCTCCGGAGCAGCGTACAGCGTCGAACCAACTTTGCTAGTCATACTTTCGCTTGTGCTTGAGTCCATTTTAGGAGACTGGCCCTGAGCAACTTCATCTGGGCCGTCAGTGTCCATGCCTCCGCGTGTCATGACTTGCGTGGTTGCGAGGCCGAAGTGGCCTATTTTGATGTGGCCGAGGGAATCTAGGAACAAGTTTTCGGGCTTAAGATCCCAATGAATGATGTCCTGTTTGATACAATATAAATTAATAGAGTAATCGAAGATGTTCTTCGTCTTTTCCCTAGCATGGAACAACGATAACATCTTAGTGCCCCACCAAAACCAAAAATAATTACAACAACCGATCAGAATACAATAAACTACAAAGAATACTACAAGGAGTCAAAGAGCCCAAAACTGCTTGAGGTGCGGGAAAATGCGATTGACTTGGTCGCGATTTATTTTAGCTTTGCAGCTGATTAGTTGAGAGAATGGGGCGCGTTTAGGGCACCAATCACAAGGCAATGTGAAGCAAGGCCAGCGCAATCCATGATCACGTTACACCGATGTTGAGAGATCTTTATTGGCTAACCGTGGATTATCAAATTGTCTCTTAAATTCTACATTTTACTCAGAAGGCTCCTATTTATGGCCTCAGCATAGTCAAGAGATTTGGTCAAGGTTGACTCCATTATAAACGTACCTTTAGATCTTCTAGTTTTTCTAATGCGAAAACATATGGTGACAGAGCTTTTCCTGCCTATGCACCAAAGCTGTGTAATGGCCACCTATTACATCTGTGGAATAGTTCCTCTTTAAGCAATTTTAAACGAAACTTGGAGACTTTTCGGGTCTTTTTTTAAGACTGTCCATTAGTTAGCTTTTATTTCGTATATCTACATTTTTATTTGACTGTTTAATTTTTCATTTTCATTTTGTAAAGCGCCCTAAAACTTTGGGATTTTGGCACTATATAAATTGCTATCGTCATAATTATTTATACTCCTTGATTATTTTCAACCCCTAGTTTCAGTAAAATTGCTCTGATTTAATGAATTCTAGGAAACCTTAAATTAGCAAGCGCCACATAGAACGCGTGCTTGTACATCACCTGAGAATGAATGTGCACCAGCCCTTCCACGATTTCTCTAAAAAGCCTCCAAATTCGCTCCTTATCTTTATGCAAGCCCTCGTCAATGAGGTTCCTTAAAGTGCTTTCCCCGCAGTACTCCATTTGGATGTACAGGTACAGCAGTTGCACGTGTTCTTTACTGGACTCGCTTCCAGTCTCCCGGCATTCCGCTCCTTCATCAGAATCTTCGGACTTGAAAGAAGAAAATGATAGCCCCTGAATGTATCCCCAAACGCATTCAGGCACGTTTTGATCATATGCTTCAGCGGTTGTATTTGGCGCGTGCAAAGTTCCTAAGACATATCCCGCAGGGTAAAGACTCCAATTTCTAACTTGAACCCCCTTGCTCTTTTAAACAGCTAATGAGAATTCATGCCAGAGGAAACAGTGGCAGGATCCAGTTTTTCATAACGCTATCTAACGAATCTAACGACGGATAAATCGCTATCCAGCGGCTACTTTTTACCAAAACGTATCCTGTGGATAGCGAGTAGTTTATCAGGAGAACCTAAAAATACCCAAAGACAAATAGCTCTGGAAACCAGTATTTAACCCCATCAATAATTTTCGATTTGAAAAACCCCTCCATTCTTACGCCAAAGGCGATGCGTCATCGCCTTTAGAGGACGAAACGGCGAGGGGGGAGAACTACAGCATCAAAACAGACTTCTCAAGCAAGCAATGAAATTTAGCAGTTACCTGATAGAAAGTGACTCGACTATGCCTCAATTCCTGTGAATCACTTGAAGACGAATCTGATCCATTGGTCTCCTCTTTATCATCGCCCTGCCACCAGAAGTCTTCTAGGTCATTTGTACTACTTCCCATGCTCGGTTCTTCGATCTTATTCAATTTCATCAGACTTTCTTCGTCGGACACAGACGATGAAATAACTTTGGAAGATTTTTCTCCCGCTGGTTGATTCTTTTCCTGTTGTTGTTCCTCAGTGCTTTCAAGCCAAGAATTGTAATATCTGCAAAAGGAAAAATTTAACTGTAAGAGAGGAATCGTGAATAGGAGGTCCCGTGTTCAAGTCCCGCTCGGACTATCTGCCACATTTGCTTTTTAATAGTTCCGGGTTCAACTTTTCGACCACGCTTGCCATGAGCTAACTGGTTTGGCTGATGCGAGTGAGAGACGCAGTTGCGTACTGATCAATGCACTGAGATCCGGGTCGAGGGGTCTGGGTTCGAGACCTGGCCAGGGCCGTTGTGCTGTGTTCTTGAGCAAGACACTTTCCTCTCACCATGCCTCTCTCTCCACCCAGGAGTAGGAATAGGTATCAGCGAATTGTCACGGAAGTCGGATGAAATATTGGAGNCACTTCTTTTTTTTCCCCTTTTTTTTAACCTCTGCGTTATGTGAGGTTTCTAATCAGTTCAGGCCGGTTTGATTTCGATTATTTGATTGGGGCGATATGAGTCAAGTGTCCCTTAAGGCTAGACACACCTTATGAAACGAATGGAAGCGACAGGGCGGCTACGGAATAAGGGTAAGGACACTCAACGTGCCGTACTTCTCGCTTTTATTATTCTTTTTATTTTACTCTAATTTTTCATGATTTTTCCTTTTTTTTACGGCACACGCTTGCGCTTAAAATTCAATCTTAATATATTAGGTATTCCCATTAGTGAACTTTAGAGCCAAAAATATCACACAATATGCTTGGGTCGCCTGTGTTTATACGTGTAAATACGCGTGATTTGTAAGTAAACGATTGTGCTTACTTAACGACATTTCCATGATTCAGCTTGCTCATGACCTGTACCTCACGCATGATAAACTGAATGCTCTTTGTGTCAAGAGGAATCCGCTTCACAGCGTAAAAGCAGTTGTCCAGCTTACTTCGTGCCTAAAATAATGATAATGATGATGATGAAAAATAACAATAATCCTAATAATCGTAATGGTAATAACAAAAATAGCAACTTATGAAAAAAAGGGGAAAAAAAAAGGAATTGACTGTAGTATAGATACTTAAAGGCCTAGAAGGTAACAAAACGAATTTGAATGCTTGTTGATACCTATTTCTGTTCTGTTATAGTTGTTGGTCAGTTTTGCTGTTGTTATTACAGTTGTTTTTCTAACAGCATCTTTCAAATGAAAATGATCGAATATATTTTCTGGTTGGTTATTACTTTGATTATGACTATGTGTATGGTTACCTTGATGTAGAAGACGTAATCATAACGGGAAGTGTCTTTCACTGGGTTTTAGCCAATAAATATAAGTCTAGACATGAGCCATAACAACTACAATTGGTTATGGCAGATCTATCCACATGGGAAAAAGTCTACATGAGATCTGAATTTCATAGTGTTTTCGACCTCGTTGTAGTTCTCGTCTGTCAAAATTACACCACAAACTCACGTATACCTTGATAACGTTTCCAAAGCTTCCTTTGCCGAGAAACCCCAGCTGCTCAAAATCGCATGTAATACGGGAATTTCCGGAAACTCCCGTGAAGAATGAGAACTGGGGCACAGGCTCCTCGCTTTCCGGTAGGTCGATCAGGACAGATGGCCCAGCATCCTCTGCATTTCCATTGTCCCTTTCAACTTCCTGTTGGCCTTTCGCTAAACTACTGGATATAACCGGGGTTAAAAACGGATGTTCCCGAAGCTGAGATGCAGACCACCGGTTTCTTTCGTCGCTCTTCAAGCAACTACAGAGAAGAAGGATTATAAGAAATAGGTATAGATACTCTATTGTTATTCATTTCCTTGGATGAAATTTGCGAGCACCATAACCACACGAGCTGTGGTAACTTTTTTTGTGGTAAAACAGTAGCGAACTGTTGGAGTGTTTTATGGAGGAAAAAAGAGTACATTCTGCTAGAATATAAGTCCATCACTAACTTGCAAAGGAAGTCGTGCAGCGCCGACGGAAATGAAGCAGGTATGTCTTTCACGTCTTCAATTATTTTATATCCCACAGCCAAAGAGAAGACCAGCAGACCCTACAAAAAACGGAACTTTATAGTTATGATCTTGATTACTCTCAAATGGATTCAGCACCTTCGCTGTCCCGCTGTCTATGTAGGAGTGGATAACGCGAAGCCTATTCATCAATCTTTTTTTTCGGTGTGTTTGGTTTATTTCCTATTTCCTTTCTGTTTCTTTATTTTTCAGTTTATGCTCGAAGGAACTGGCCCCAACTCTTACCTTCGACTCCCCCCTTAGCTTAGCTCGAAGCTTCGTAATTTTTCGTCCCTTTCTCCTTTCTTGTCCCTTACTTCAAACAAAAAGTTAGTTCACGCGCAAAAAAATCACTATGAGCACAGATGAATTGTGTCATTTAACAACTAAGGATGGGGCTAATGAATAAAATACACAGATGCCAGTGTAATTCAAAGGCCCTTGGTAGACTTGTCATGAAGCAATCTCTTACCAAACTGTAGACATCTCCTTTCTTTCCATAGCGAGAGGTTGTTATGTTGTTTTCCTTCGCAGCGTTACTTTGTGTATGTTTCCCATTTCCACCATACACTTGGTACAGATCTGACAGCCTTTAATGTAATTTAATCAAATTCAGTTTCAGGTCTTCACAACGGGAACATCTTAACTCTTCGTAGAACACCTAATTTCTTTCTGGTGGACGTAAAATTATGCCCGTCAAAGGATGCCGCTGGTGTTGGGCATCACGAAATCAACTTTCCACGCTTGGGTTACTAGGAGCGGTGATCGACGTGGCCATGCTAGGGGTGGGGAGTAAAGTGAGCTTCGACGAGAAGCTCCCCGCGTCGACGAGACCTACAACGAGGTTCAATACATCCTTACTTGCGACTTTTATCAAAAGTAGCTCTACAGTGTGTTGTTTTGTATGTAAATAATTTGGATATATCAACAAAGTTGAAATGGTAAATTGGCCACCGTAATGATTACAAAAGCTGATGTTTCGAGCGTTAGTCCTTCGTCGGAGCGAATAGAGGAATTGTGGGTTGTGTGTGCTTTTAAAGGCAGAAAATGGAACAACGTTATTGGTGGGAAATAACGTATAGCAATAACGTCGCTCCATTTTCTGCTTTTAAAAGCATACACAACCCACAATTCCTCTATTCGCTCCGACGAAGGGCTAACGCTCGAAATGTCAACTTTTGTAATTGTTACGGTGGCCAATTTACCATTTCAACTTTGTTGATTTATCCAAATCATTTCGTTACCCCCACCGACGCAGCCCCAAACAGTTTCTTTCGAAACTATCAGCCTTTATTCATTTGTTTTGTATATAGCTGGCTTGAGACACACACCTTTTCCCAACACTGTAATCGGCGAGACGTACATTTCCGTAAGAGTCAAGGCGGCAACTAGATAGCTATAAACGAAGAGAAAGAAGATAAGTGTTTTGAAGTTTGCCACTGATTTTAATCAAACGTCCATATTACGAGGTTCCTACGCTGAATTGTCAACCAATTACAGGACATAGCTATGTCAGTAATAACATTCCTCACACCGAACCTAGAGAAACAGGAAATCTCAGGATACACATTAATGATATGAAGAATTTATAAACAAGCAGCCCTCTGTTACACTCACCCTCAAGTCCTTATGGACCACAGCACTGCTGTGAAGATAGTACAGGGCTTCCACAAGTTGCTGAGTGTATTCTCGTAGCTGTGCCACAGGTAGCCCTCCTTTCCTGAGATGTAGACTTAAAAGGTTGCCGCCACCAACATATTCTAACAAAACCTGATGAGAGAAAGGCCAACAATAGTTATAATAAAAATAATGATAAAAATTATAATGATGATAATCATAATCCTAGCAATCAGTAGAGGGAGGAGATAAAGTATCTTTCTAGGAAATTCACGCACAAGTAAACTATTTTCTAATGAGGTCATTTGGTAATATCAGCTAAGTTGAAATTGTAAATTGGCCGCCGTAAAGAGTTAACTAGCTGACGTTTCGAGCGTTAGCCCTTCGTCAGAGCGAATGACGAAGGGCTAACGCTCGAAACGTCAGCTTTTTAACTCTTTACGGTGGCCAATTTACAATTTCAACTTTGTTGATATTACCAAATGAACTTGTGACCCGGCCATCGACGCAGCACCACAGCTTCTTTAGAAACTTGCCCCCTTTATTTTCCAATGAACAGGGCTAACATGACATTACAATTATTGTGATACAAGGGGTCCAATGAATGAGTTACCAGTAAACGGATTTCTGGGATCGCCACAGTGGAACATTTCAAATTGTTAGGGGAAAAACCAGTACTCAGTTGTCGACTGCAGGCCGCTGGCTACCCTCGCCGGGCTTACTTTTGTTACCCGACATACTATGCGATCGGTGAACGGATCCACGATCGGTTCAACAAGTCTAATTCGAAATTGGAAAGCCTATCGAGCTGGCGATAAAAGCATCGCTAGTGAAAGATCTGTGGGAGGAATTGGGAATCGAGTGAATGGAAATGGAACAGCAACATCTCTGCTTTGACTTTCTGTAGGAATCGAGACTGGCGGTAATTTTTTTGGCGGAATTATTCGCTTAGGGCGACGGACACTTCAAAAATGAGTTTCCTGCCTTGTCTTTTTTTTAGCAGTTGAACACCAAAATATCGCTAACTTGCGTTTTCGGCTATTTTGAAGCCGAAAACGCTTCAAAATGGCCTGAGACGCTGGTAATCAACAAAGAAAACAACAAGGCAATAAGATAAGTTCAATTTAGTTCAAAACAAGACCTTTTCTCTCTCTTTTAAGGCAAACCGATAACATCCCATACAATTCTTTATAAATATAAACGTTGCGCAACATTGTAAGAGGCACGTCCGTTTTTTCTAGTTGTGAGCTTGGGCTGCCTGTGACTGAAATGGCTTTATTGAGTTCTAACTATTTCTATATTTCGAGGCCATTTCACAGTAACCTGGTGCATGGAGAAAAGTTAATCAGTTGATTTTCCTATTCATTATCCAACTGTGGTTCGTAGAGTACAAATAACGCCCAAAATGAGTACAAACATCTCACGGTATTTGTACTCCAGAGAACCGTTTGGACAGGTTTTCTCGCATTGCGCCAATCGACGAATTGAATTGAAGTTACGAAAAAATTGGTGGACAATTTCAATTATTTTTCTGACGACGAAGAGTCGGAATGGCTGACGAATATTGACCCAAGTTTATTAGATAAATCGAAGGAAGAAAAGCAGTTAGACGATGATGAAATTTCATTATTTATTGGAGAAAATACCGCGCCAATTCCGTTCCCCGTCGCATACTTCTGTTACGCACTCTCTTATTAAACTGTTTTTTTTTGTGTAGCATCGCTGAGTATTTTTACTCATTATTTGTATTTTGAGCCCCCTTACGGGCTCATCAATCTACGGTACAACTCGTAAAAACATTCAGCGATACTACACAACAAAACTTGTAATGGGATAAAAACATATTTTATGGTTGTTCGCTAAAAAAACATACGCTTCCTTTGTATAAACATTATCCAAATTCATTTCTGATAAAACAGCGACGAAAAAGCGATGATCTCTCTCCAAAATCGAGGCGTTCCTATTTCCCCCGAAAGAGAGATAAATGTGTAGCAAGCAATCTTGAGGTATTTTTATTTTCTTGTCTTTACGTGATGGTCTACTGCCATCCATCTACACCATTTGAATGGAAGAGGCAATGCGACAGTTAATTGCCTTATTCCGTTTTAGCCACAATTCCTTTTAATTTAGTCTGCACCGAAAAAAATCAGAGAATTTTCACCCAGGTTCTCATTTTTCATTTTGCTCTCACCTCTCCACACTACTGCGTTTTTATTCGAAAACGCGTACCTTTAAATGGGTTAACTTTTCACTTATCCACATTAAAACAAATCAAAATACTGATTGAAGCGAGGGAAGGTGACGCTTTCCTCGACAACGTTTTCAAAAGGCTATGTCTACACCTGTTCACACAAGATATGGAGCGTTTAATAAACGATGGTTTTTTTTTTTTTTTTTTAGCTGTTTTGCCAAGTTTCCTTTTTAATCAGAAGCCAGAACGTAACGAACAAATATGCTTTTTAAAGCGAATGCTCATAAGCTTGACTGGGATCGATATCGAGGGCTCCAGTAGAGCTCCAACCCACGGTGATCTCTTAATCCGTCGTATATAACATTAGTCATTTTCGCAACGAAACTTCTTGGTAAGGTTAGAAAGATTAATGGTAATGAAAGAATAAATTGCGATTTTGTAAATACCTGGACTTTGACAGTAGGAGACTCTTCCTGGACATTAACAGCTAAATAGTGAGTCAGGTTTGGATGACGGACGCGGCTAATAAGGGACAGGGTCTCCTGCTCTATACTGAGAACCTAAATTAAAGTCAAAACATCGCGCAGAAAAATCAGATTTATTGTTGATGGGACTTGAGATCTGTACTGTTGTGTGACCGACTTTTTTTCCTCTTTTCTTCCTTCTTTAATTTGTTTCTAATTAGTTTCTTATGTTTCTGGGTTTTTCACTCCTTGCTTTTATAATTAAAGAACATTAAGTGTGGACTTTCATTTAAGAAAACCCTAGACTATTATTACATATGATTTCTATTGTAGCTATAGCAGTTTTTGACTTAGTGCCTTTTTGTTTTATACGTTCTATCTTTTATATAATTGAATAATTTCGTATTTGTTAGTTTTTAACTCTTATTGAGCAGGACCCCGTTGATAAAAGCTTTTTTTTTTGTATTGAAGGGTTATCCTGGATAAATATTTTAATTATAATTATTATTATTACTATTATTATTACAGGGGGAGAAAATCTTTTTACTGAGACAAAAAAAAGGAACAAGAAAGGAATACACAATTCTCATGTAAGTCAAAGCAATTGTCGGTGTGATCCGTCACATCAATACAATACAACAATATATAGATAAATAGATCTTATTAACCAAGCGCGAGGGCCTTACTGGGAGAATATCGGCCCGAGGTCTTGACAGTACGGACCGAGCGCAGCGAGGTCCGCACCAAAAAAACCGAGGGCCGATATTCTTCCAGTACGGCCCCGAGCAAGCTTGGTTAATAAGAGATTTATTATACGACTGAAGTTCAAAGGGACACAAGTGCGGTATCATTCGGGACCATTCGGGACAGTGCCCGGTCCAATACTGAGAGAATATTGACCGGCAATAGAGCATTTTGATTGGTTGATTTTAGTTATTCGCCCTCTGACTGCCCGAGTCATATAATAAAATACAATATTCTTTATTTAACGAAAGTGACGTAATTAGCCCAATGAGTTATCTAACTTACGGCCTTCACAACAAACCCACCATCCCACTCCAGGGGAGGACATCCATCACACAGTAATCTCATGCGTGGGAAACTAACGTCTCCCACCCCAACCCTTCAGGAGACGGGACCTCCATTTATTCGTCCTTATCCGAGAAGACTAGAATATCTAACCATTTCTTGATGTTATGGAAAGGAAGCAAATTGTTCTGAATTATTTTAAGACCTCGAGTGTTGGTCCGGCTGGGGCTCGAAACCTCGACCTCCCGCACAACAGTCCAGCGCACTATCCATTGTGCTAACTGGGAAGTTCGAATTAACCACAGAGAAAACCTGAATCGATCAGATAAATTAAAACCCAGACCTGTTTCATGAGTCTTGCTTGAGGGTCTTGCTGCTGGTTTTCAGTGATACTCAGTGTGCGTCGCATCTGAGGTCCTACATGAAGTGACGACAAAACCCATTCACGCATCACGACCAGATCACCTTTGGTGATGTTCATGCCACTGTACACTTTTGAACCAGATGATCCTTGACCTACAACAAGAACAAAGACGTTTCAACTTCCGCTGATTTCCTCAACATTAGAACCTCTGAAAAGTCTATTTTGTAAGAGTTACAAGCTTGCATATCTTGTTTTCACCAGCTAAACTGTAAACCAGCCCCCGTAAGCTACTCCAACCACTAGTGAACGTACTGTTTCTCGACTTTGCAAATATCTGAGCGCATTTCAGGCAGTAAGAGTCTAGTGGCCATTGTATAAATCTAAAACCAATCTCTTTAAGACGGGAAGGCTAACCAAGATTTTCTGTAAAATCTCTTTGGCTAGATTTCCAGCACACGCCCGTCTTATGATTACATACATGACCTATTTAAGTTCAAAATCAATTTCAAAAGTTTCAAAATAAAGTGTTTATATGATGAAGTACTTTTTGAAGGAGTTTAGTCGCTTGAGAAGGGAAAATAATTGCCTCTCGGTTAGGACGCACAGACTGTGCGTCATGACCTCGAGTAACACGCCGCAAGAAGCGCGTTACCCGACTCCGAAAACATTTGAGACGAGTCGCGGGGAGGTTTGCCAGGAATCTGGCACTATGAATTATAATAAGAAACCTCTTACCGAATAAACGCTTAATTGGGTCAAAGTTTCAATAATGAGGGCCTGCTCGCAGACTAGACTTCGAGTCAAGTACTGTAGTTTCTGGTTTTTACCTCCCACTCAGTCAATATATAAGGACAACTTATTTACCAAGGCATTTTCCACAATGTACTGTGTGCCCCCCTCCGCTGGTGAAGTGGATCACTCGTGTTCCTGTGAAGGATTCATCACCCAGTCTTTCAGAGCTCCGACTTCGCCTCATGACATTGTAGCCAGCGGGCCTTCCCTCTGTTTCCTGAGACGAGGGAGAGACTTGTAAAGGTGTCACGGAATTTCCAGATTGCTTTCTATGAACTGGCGCATCTTTTGTTGGGCTGGTGTCAGCATCTTTCTTCTTTGCACTCTGAGCCGCCGGGTCTGTCTCGGTGTTCTTTTCCTATTTATTTAATAAAACCCACGAGATATTAAGCTTTGCCGAGCAATTTTCAACTGAGTGTCGAAAGTAATTCAGGATAGCATTGGGTCTGCTTTACTTTGCTGTGCGATTGGTCCAGAAAACTTGAGCTCTCTCAACCAATCAGGTACAAAACCAAAACCAATGAGGACTTGGTTACCCGCGTTGTACCGCGCTTTAAGCAGTTCGCTTGTTTTTACTTTGAGTTCTCTGATTGGCTGTTGTAAACACTTTAGGTCTGGTTTTCAACAACAATCAGTCGAAAAGTTCTATAAAATGACTTTAATTTTTTTCGTTGACATAAATTAAAGAATACTTACTGGACTAACAGTAGTACATCATTGACTGAAATACTTGAGTTGATGAAAACATAAATCGTAGATTTTTCTTTCAAGATCTCCCATAAGTGATCGAGACAAAATTTCTCATTAAATATTATTACAATATCAAGCAGACAAATAATGAGAATAAAGAAAAATATCAGTTAGGGGATTATATGTTGATCCAATACCAAATTCTCCAAAATAACATCATAAGAAAGGAATAGCAAACAGCAGCAAGGAGAATAACTTCTGATATTTTTTTTGAGGGGGGGGAGGGTAAAGATTCCTTCCAGTAGTTATGTTTGGACTGACCCTTATCGTAAAGAATCACACTAATATACCAAAAATCGATTTCACAGACGGAGCGGAAAAAATTTTCTTTTTTACCTCATCTTCTTCTTGTTCTTTGTTAGCTTCAAAATCCATCTGTAGTCTTTGGTGCTCGGCAGCTAGGATTCTCTCTTCAGCTAACATTCCATCATATAATGATAACTTGGGTTTATTGTCTTGGAGAAGACGTGTTTGAACATAATGTGCTAATTGCAGAACCATAACCTGTGGGTCAGTATATGAAAGTTGAGTAGGCAAAATATAAAAACAGCAATTATCATAATGACAAAATCAACCAACTGACTGTTAAATATGAACAACATAAAGTTAAAACTCGACTTCATCCTATGCCATTAGCCCTGTCTTCAAGTTTTAAATTCATTTCTGATGAATGATGCAAACCAAAGCCAGTTAAAAGAAATAACAGCTATCTTAGCCAACCAGAAAGAAAAAAATAAATACTGGCTGACCACAAAAAAGCCAAATTGTTCATATTAACTCATGTATTAATAAAAAGGACAAATAAAAAGACAAAAAAGTGCAGCTAACCAATGCAATCCTGAGTAACTTCCTATTCACCCTTTAAAGCTCCCAAGATCTGGGAGGAGGCAGTGTGGTCTTTCAGTGTGGCCTGGGAGGAGGCAGTGTGGCCTTTCAAGCTCCCAAGATCGTTAGGAGGCAGTGTGGCCGAGTGATCAGCATGTCGGACTCGCAATCCGCCGCTTCCGGGTTCGAGTCCCGCCCTGACCCCTACCTGGATTTGTTTCACGGTAGCTCCGAGTACAAATCTTCGGCCATGTTTGTAAATAGCCAACTCAGGTTTGCCTTCGGGCAGTTGGGATTCTTAAGAATGTTAAGTTCAATTTGAATTATTTGTTTCAGTAGTTTGCATGGAGCTCAATGAGAACTACTGGTTCTACCAGTAATTGTGTAATCCAAGAAAGTCATTATCATTATTATTATTATTATTATTATTATTATTATCTTATTTTTATAGTAACTTTCATTTTTAGGGAGTTATAATTAGCTTGCATTTGGTTTCATTAAGGGTCTGGGCACCAGGAAAATTGGTCGGTTGTGAGGACAGTTTTGCCCATATGGTTTGACCATCTGGAGGAAAGTTTATCTCATAAAGAAGCTAGTTCAGTTGAAAAAGTGTTGCCTATTTGTGAAAACCAGTTGCCCTACTGCTGAAAATGTAATGAAACCCCTAAGCTTGTATGTATAATCACTTTCAATTAGTACACAACTAGGCCAGATGAAAAATAAAACTGTCAATTAGGCATTGAGTCAAACAGAAAAGTATATCTTACATCACCAACAAGATCTGCTGCCATATCTTGAAGCTCATTTTGAAGTTCATTTACATCTTCCCCTGAAATACCTTCCGCACTGCCCAGAGACAGCTTTGGACTCCTAATAATGATATGTAAGAGCAGTCCAACATGAATTCTAAAATCAAAACTATGTTACCTTTTCTGCTTCCCCAGTCCTCAGTGAGTGCCTTTTTTATTTCAAAACTTGGTGACACTGATTCCATGCAGTGATATAGAATGGTAATCAGACCTAATGCACGAAATCCAGTTTCATTTAGAATCACAGGGTGATTAACAAAATCCGAAGTGGGAACACAATTTATGACCAAAAGGAAAAATATTAACTGATAAAAATGGAGAGTGCACTTTTAAGTCCTTTTGTCATTTGATAAAAACTTATTGGAGAGAAGAAATCCCCATTTTTCTCTGTTGATTAGTCTTTGGGATTGAAGGTTACAGTAGAAACCCAGGAGAGAAGTGTACACAATAACAGAAGAATCGTCTCTAAACAGTAATGAAATAACTCAATTAAGCAATCAAACTTTGCACACAGAATTGCCTAATCTGTGATCCCTTGTGCCCCCCCCCCATCCCCCTCCCGTGAATGATTACCTAACGTAAGTAAGCACAATCATAACTCTCTATAGTACTGTACCCTGTACACTTCCTAGAAAGCTGACAAGGAGAATTTGCATGTTTAACAATCAAGAGCGTTTTTTAGTTGGTATTTCCTTTATTTTTGTGACCTTGTTAAACGAGAAAAAATAAAGAAATTAGTCAGTAATTACTCTTAGGGGGCAAAGAGTTGAAAATTTATTCAGATTAAAAGGAATCTGTATACTTGCCGATTTGGATAGTCCGCTGTGTAAAGTATGATCAAATCAACTCTAGCATATACCTCTTTGGCCACAACACTCTGTAATGGAGTCAACTTCAAACAAACCTTTGGAGGTTCATCAGGCTAGAGACAGACAAATAATATGCAAGGTTTTCAATAAAATTGGTAATGTTACAAACAAGGGAATATAATGAATAAAAGCTCCCGCTCTGTGTCAATAGAAAAGAGCTGAAGGAATCACAATTTAGTGAGAATGTATTCTGTGCAATTGACAGAGAAGTCTCTTTAACCCTTTCACACCATTATCTCGATGATAATTCATCTTACACTCACCCGGACGATCAGACTACACCTTCACATGTTACCCCCGGGTTCAAGCCATTTACTGCATCAGTACTTATATGATAAAAAGTGTTATTCTCTGGCCTAAGTCGGTGCGTATTGAGAAAACTGTGCCCTCTGTCTTGAGTACCGCCCTAGGCAGTAGGCCGAGAGCGGTATCCAAGACCTCCGGCACACTTTTTCTTAATACGGACCTTCCAGAGGGTGAACAACATATATTTACTAACAAACTTGTATCGTAAAAGACACCAGTGTTTGAGACTATTATGATCCGCTGATACACGGTAAGTGTGACATATTCACTGAACATCTGATTCCCCTCCAAAGACGTCTTTATCGGTACCCCTAAGCAGTACTTTCTGATCTTGGAAGTTATCAAAGTCAACAAGTCAAAGTTTGTGAATATATGAAAATCATATATGAACAAGCTAATTTCATTTCTATGATCAAGGTATAAATTCCTATGTACTTTCAAAAATTGAACCTGAATACGTATCCCGAACGAAAATGTCTGGCCGTACAAGAACATGAATACGACCTGACATTTGAACCAGACACGGGCCGGCTAACATCAACCAGACAAGCACCGAAGTGGCCTAACATGAACCTGACACAGAGTGGGAGACGAGCGGTAATTAACCTCGCAAGAGTCAGAAAAAAATCGTACACAGCGGAAAAGAGACTGACACGAGCCATGATACGTAAGCTTAACAAAGCCTGACAAGAGCAGTGCTGTTCAGCCTGATAAGCGCCGAACAAGAAAAATCGTTGAGAACGGGAAAACGAGCCCAACACGAGCCAGACATCGGTGTGACAGCACAAAAACAGTTAGAGATATAGTAATTGTTAAATAATCCCGCCTAAGTCTTCAGCCTGAATTCGGCCCTAGAACTCATAAAACACACATATATAATGACAAAATAGTTTATTGATAAACAAATCTCAATACACTTATAGACTAAAATGCAACGAATGCCTTTATCTTATGTGGAGATTTGGCATATGCGTGCAGAGATTCCACCCAGCTGCATGTCCTCTCCATACTGAAGAAGTTTCCTCGATCTTATACAAGACTTAGGGTTACGATTTGGAGTTTGCCCGCCACTCTATTTAGAAGAAAAGCGGTAATGTAGCATGTAAATAGAAAGAACGAGAGGTTGCATTTTGGCACATTGATTTACCGCCGCTCTGTGATACTGCGGCCCGGCCCAAACCCGATCCATTCCATCAACTGAAAAGCTGATCAAGCCATTTCATTTAACTCCATTCAGCTAAGGGGAATTAAGACGCTGTACCTCAGCCGAGACGAATAGAATTCAATTTTAGGTTGACCTAAATTAGTCAATCCTGGCTGAATTGATTCAGACGCCGAACTTATTTCGGCCAAAATCAATTAACTGAAGAAAATGTGTGGCTGGGGCCGCGCAGTCTAAAGTAACAGATTTGATAAGTGTTCTAGAGAACGAAAGTGATTTGTATGGCATGGTCGTTATAAGGAATTTTTTAAGTATTTTATTTGATCACTCCAACAAAGAAGTACCTAAATAAAGTCCGGCAGTTGATCTGTAAGTGTTTCAGCGCGACCAAAGTATACTTGATTGAAATTTGAAATTCCAATAGGTAATAAATGTTGAATTTTTGAAGAAAACAAAGATTATTATGCTGATAAAATCTTCGCCATTTTTCTTGCACATGCTCACATGTAAAAACGGCAAGAAAAATACGTTAAAGTAATTTGTACATTTGATTCGGCTCATATGAAGAACGGCGTCGGAATCAAACCGGTCTACAACCGTTATCCCGGCTGAGTCAGGCGGGATTAATTGACCGAGCTGATCTAAATTAAGTCAGCGGTTCCGAATTGATTTTGACGCCGTACTTCACATGAATTCGATTCGGCTCGGCTCGGCTTAAGAACGGCGTCTGAACCTGGCCTAAAAAGTAGCAATTGTGAGAAAAAGTACCGTACCATACATTTTCTTTGGACTTTAGGACAGTTGCTAACTTTGAGCTTCTTCTCTACAGCAGCGCCATCCGACATAACCTTCTTTTGATTTCAAACTTGCGCATTAATTAAGTCGCAAATTAAGTCTGTCATCTTGAACATTTATCCAATCGAAGTAAAGGTACGCTGCATAGCATTCTTAAGACTTTGAATCCTCGAAAACGACTTTTCCGGCATGTAAACACAGACGAAGAAGCGAACATTTGTAGCAATTTACTCAAAGATACCCACGCTTCCATACGCCTCGCGCGCCAAAGTTTCATTTTTACAAACCGTCGTTGTATTTCCTGTGGATATAATAGGGACTTTATACACGAAGGCGCGCTATAAAAGGAGAGGTCCCTCAGGTACCTGGTAGATGAACAAAGGGAGCTAATGAGATGTTTACTTCCACCAGCATGGTGGCAATGATGTAACGTGCGAACCACCTACTTCGATTTAAAATTTACCGCCACAAATAAAGACAGTTTCCGTTGGAGAGTGGAAATACAAATCTCAAAAATGATTTTATTGTGATGAAAACATAAAAAACAATTTTGAGGAATGCGCCCGCTGTTCACTGCTTTGGATTAGCTATAGCTCAAGCTGACTCATAGAATTCTACATCACACAACGGTTGATTGACAACTGATCGAGAGGTGCCTAGGGCACCTCTCCTTTTATAGCGCGCCTTCGTGTTTATAAGCAGTCAGGTCGGCAACGCCACCGAAGAAGTCGATTAAAAGACGAGTTTCTACTTTTAGTTAGAATTTCGAAAATAGCTGCATGTCTTTATCGTCTCATAGGGCGCCAGACCTCAAACTCAACATAACGGATGAAAGTAGCGTTGAGTTCTAAATGTAAATTAAAATAATTTGCCGCAGAGGTTTCGCCTCGCAGACGACGCAAATTTTGGTGATTTCATGTTGTTGTTTTGCATTGAAAGGACAGCTAAGAAATGTGCAAAGTTTCAAAACGCACGTGCTGGCTATTGTTCTGCCAATTAGATCTATTGTTTTTCCACGTTCTCTTTGCCGTAGCCGTCGTGGTTTGCTTAAAAGGGAACTTATTTAAGCAGTCAGGACGGCAACGTCACGGAAGACGTCGATTAAAAACTTAGTTTCTACTTTTAGTTAGGATTTCGAAAATGACTGCATGTGTTTACCGTCTCATAGGGCGCCAAACCTTAAACTCAACATAACGCATAAAAGTAGCGTTGAGTTCCAAATGTAAATTAAAATAATTTGCCGCCGCCGTTTCGGTTCGCAGACGACACAAATTTTGGGGATTTCACGTTGTTGTTTTGCAAAGGACGGCTGAAAAATGTACAAAGTTTTAAAACGCACGTGCTGGCTATTGTTCTGCCAATTAGATCTATTGTTTTTCCACGTTCTCGCTGCCGTCGCCGTCGTGGTTTGCTTAAATTCCCTAAAGTCCCTGATAATGACTTCGAAACAACAGGATATTTAAAAACACTTCGAACTAATGGTTGACAGTTAATATTCAACTTACTCTGCACCAGGCACTAAGCAATAGGGATGGCTGTTTTCTATGTTGAATGAAATTGTTGACTGGTTGTATTGCCGATCTAACGCTGTAACACAGCTGTTTTTGTTTTCTTAAATTAACATTCGACTTGTATTCCACACTAATTTTTTTCTTAAAAGTTCGTACATTACACTGTCATTCAACTCGACGTTTTTCCTGCGAATTGTAAACATTCAAGGTTTCCCTTAAAACTAAGTTAAATGTACTTTTTATTGTTGTTCGATAGGCCTCGAGTAAATCCATTTCCTAGAATGAACAACTATTTAGATTTCAAGTCCAAAAAAGTAAACCTCGCACTGACTCGTCTGTGTCAAGAAAAACGACAGATAGATTGTTGCGTGACTATGTTATGTTATTGAAATGACAACAGGAAGTTTTTAAAACATTGCTAGTCTGGTTCGCGAAAGTCTTTTATCAGGCTCTGAAATCACGCGCATTGGTGAATTACATGTCAGCTTAAAGATGTGTAAACGTATTCAGCGTTGTCTGGCTTTTTTCCTGCTCTTGCCCTGCTCCTGTTAGCCTTTTCCGGCCGATCATGGCCCATGGAGTGTAAAATTTGTCTGGCTAATTAGCTGAGTGCCAGACAATTTTTTTGTCCGGCTCTAAGGACGGCAATCGGGCCGAGATCAGCCGCTATTCAGTTTCTGTCAGGCTCCAAATTTTCGTCTAGGACTAGATGATTCGCCTGTAGGATTATAGGCAAGATAGTAAAAACAGCAACCTTCCGATTACGACGATTCAAGCTCCCAAAACTTCATCTCCGATCAATTACGTTAGACTTATAACAAACACTGAATCACCTTTTCTCTCAAATCCTGGAAGTCGTCCATGTAAATAGCTTGAAGAGCTTGCAGCTCTTCTTCCTGTCGTTCGATGCAGCTTTTCTCCATTTCAAAGACATGAAAATACCAGAGAGTAGAGATTCTTTTGGTTCAACCTTCTCAAATGCTCGATATCATGGTGGTGTATTTCCTTGAGACGAAAGATCGTGGAGTAGAACAAACACAGCTTTGTACTGTAAGGTATTCGACTTCAACTCTTAGTCTCCTTCATATGTCCTGAATGACACATCTTACTTTCTTTTTTCTGATTCCAGAATTTACCTCCGATTTAAGCGTTTACCTCCGATTTAAGCGTTTACGGGGAAATAATGGTGAACGCTTTCAGTACCTATTTGAACGATGGTAAAATGGAAACTGGTAGCGAATAGTCACATAACGTGTTAACCTTTGATTGTTTGATTTACGAGTTTCATTTTGACCAATGAGAACCCGTTTAACATTTCCAAACACATGACAGGAACGTGTCTTACCAAAGAAAGAAAATATAGGTCCGCACTTCGTACTTGTGTCTATTGAAAATGAGTAAGTGTTGAGAAAACCATTTCTGCTGCGGCAATGATTTGGTAAAACTGAGTCGCACAACTGAGCTAATGTACCTATACATGATGTAGGACTAGCTTGCATACAATGAGCGTGCTCAATTCAATTTGCCCCGCTACAAACGTTACTCCCTTGAAGTGGACCACGTTTAAAAATAGGCCTACTCTGGGGTCTTAAGTCGCCGTAACTTTGGGCGACTTTGGGCTATTTAAGGTGACTTAAGGCGAATTAAGCGAAATTTGCAGAGAAAACATTGCGACTTTAGGTGATTTAAGGCAACTTAAGGCGACTTAAGGCAACTTAAGGCAACTTAAAGTGATTTTACTTGACTGAAGGGATAAAATCAAAGTTAGCAACAGTCCCTCCATAAACCTTAAAAATATTTACAGAATCCCTTGCAATAAACACCATAGTCAACTTGGTTACTTTTGTATGCTCATAAGTCATCATAGTCTAAAATATCCAGATTTCAAACCAATTTAGCTAATAATAATTAGACAGAATTACCACAACAGTTATCGTTAAGTTCACAGTAAAAGCTGATGAATAAATAGCCAGGAAACCAATTTAGCTTAAAATTGAGCCAAACAATAAAACAGCCCATAGAACTCACAATAACACAATTTCCTGGTTTATTCCGCTTCAATCTAATTCAAGAAACTCTCACTAAACTCGTTGGAAAAACTTTCCATAAACTCGCGCTCTCACAACCTTCTTATTCTTTCTTCTACACGCACGTGCTCACCACCTTATTTGGTAGCCCTAGCCCAAATTTGGCAGTACTGCTCAACGTCACAAAACAGTGAGGGGTAGGCTTCGTAAAACTCTCGTACAAAATGTTTAGATTTTAAATTATACAGTCAAAGGAATTAATTTATATACAGTGAAAGCTAGTGAACAAATAGTCAGGAAAACATCATGGGTTATATGCCCAACATAAAACAAACCTATCAAAAATGTACACAAAGACACACATTTTTAATTTAAGAAAAGAGAC